ATAGGTTGAAAATCAGTAGCAGTCAGGTTGGAGAAAGTGTTGCTTTGGCAAGTTGTTCATTTACTCACTGACTTGACTATATATCGGTAGTTTCGACATTTTGAAAAATACCGAGTCAGAACTTTCAATTTTTACTGGTAAATTTGCAAAACATTAAAAATAACCATGCCTCGGTCAAGCTTACTTCAAAAAAGCATCGTCGTGGACTTTCGACGCGACACCAATTAATCTGGCCTATATAATGCACAAATATATGTATCTTCGTTCCGCGCACCTTTCGATGACTTGCTCATCAAAGGCCTTCAATGTCATGACCGAATGCTGAATTCGAAGAGTTATTTTCCTTTTCTATTGCCAACTTCCAGTGTCCTCATGTCAGAATTCCCTGTTCTTCGTAGAGACAAAAGTTGACTCCCTGAGTGCATCTGAACTGAAGGTCTGTTTAAAAATTGTCCAGCCCGTAAAATCAATTTAACATCCAATATTTGAATTAAATTAGATGCTCATAGGGAAGGTGATCATGATGATGACGACGAGGATGACGATATACGGGGGGAGGAGTTTGAAGCCCAGTCAGACAAAAAGCGACATCAAGGAGGGGAAGACAATTTAGCATGCCGTCAAATAAAGCAGTGTGTTAGTAAAGTAGGCTGTCTCACTAACACCGCCTACTCACGGAGTGAGTAGGAAAAGTCAAGGTGTTCAGCTTTTCCCAGGATTAGGCTTTGCTGCGGTTCAACGCCTCTTTGGAGGGCTTCTCTGATACCATTGTGTCTTTAGGTTTACTCGTCTTCATATCGAGGCTCGCCTGCTATTTTAAACAATTGAATCAGCCTGTGAACTTGTTTTTGTATCGACCTTCGTACTTGTTACCTGATGGTTATTTTTGGTTAAAATAATATACAGTGTCTGACCCCTAGCATTGTTTTTTGGAGTTGTTTTGACATCCCTAATTTGCTAACTTTCAGATTCAGCCAGGTACGCTTTCGAGGACCCTTCAGGCCACAGTCGACTCTTGTCAAAACCTCCTTGATTTCGTTGAACTCCTCTAAATCAGGAGCCGAACATCCCAGCTGTTCAGAAGGACCTGCTTTACCTCATCAGTTACCCCCAGAAGAACGGAAGCACTTATCCCTCGTTTCTGTCCATATTTGTCCCTTACTCCGCAACGCGGACATTGCAAATGCATCAATACCTATCATCTATCGGCCGTCGTCAAATCGCCCTTTCTCTTGAAATCAACAAAACCGTTTCTTGAAAAAAGAAACATAGTTGATCTGCAATCAATCTACCTCATGTGTATTTTTATATTTGCCTTTCCTACTTGGTCTTTGCTGCAGAACAGATTGCGGCCTTTTCTATATCCTAGGACAGCCCCTCCAAAGCGAGTCTCTGGTTCTTATCACGTACGACGCAGTTGCGTTTTCGCTCGGTGCTGCCTGCACGTATCGCTTTCCCAGCCAATCAAATGTCTCTCAACTTGTTCATTTTCTGGCGCATTCTCGGAATACTGTCATCTATTCCTTTTGCTTTTTGGCCCTCCAGTCCTGAAAAACCCAGTTTAGTTGCCGTCCCAAAGCAGTCACGAGACAGTCCTCCACAAACTCATGTTTCTTCCATGTTTTGCTCCCAGGAATTAGTGTGTTTGATATTTTGCTGGTGCTACCTACGTTTTGTGGCTTATCAGCAACTCCTACGAAGTGACCCATAGTAGATTTATCCATTTGAACACGCAGTTTAGTCCTTCTCCACGCGCTAGTCAAACTTCGTTCGTTGTTTTCAAGTGATACTGACGGAGGGCTGGCGGCCGACATTTGTAGAGGGCACTTAAATACCGAGGTATGCTATATTGGGAAGGCACACGTTCACCATTGTACGAAGCTAATCGAGAACGTCTCCGCTACAGAGAGAGAGAAGCGTTCGCCGTGCTATGCATTTCAAAAACCTGGTATCCACGTGAAGTGCGTTTGAGTACGACCCTTGGAGCGCCGTTATAGATTCAAGTGCCTTTTGGCTAAAAAAAACTAAACGCCCCATTTATGTGTCACACACGAATCGGTCCCCACGTCATGTACCAGGCTATACCAGGGGACACGCCTCCCATCTAAATAACGTGTGTATATACTGGTATGCGTCTTTCCAACTGATATCTCAGGACTGGCAAAATGGATCGCATGCTTGCTGCAGGAGTGAGACATGGTGCGCTGGGCAGAGATGGCGTGTATGCGTGTGTTGTGGTTATTGTTATAGCCTAGGGAGTGTATACGCTAACACTGGATTGTTGTGATGGATTACGGTGCAGCTGTCTCACCGAAGATTTTCATATTGTTAAAATAGGCTCATGCGACGTTCGAACGTCCTGGACCAGTGTAGGCAAGTGTGGTAGAGCTGACGGGTGTGTTGGGGCTCCTGGCACATTTCTGTTGGCCTCAGTGCGATGGTTTCGCTTGTGACTGACCATGCCGGTGTGTGATTCGAAGGTAAGGTGGCAGTAAGGATAGGATGAGACTGTGTCTACAGAAATGGCGGTGGTGGTGATGATGGCGCGGCCACATTGTTGTTTTTGGTGGCAGTAGTAATATTAGTAGTAGAAGATAAGGAGCCTTCTGATGTGGAAGATGGTATTACGGTGAATATAGCCGTCGTGTATGCGCACACTGCCGAAGAGTTTCATGCAGTATTTGGGTGTCCTGGGGCAACGTAGGCAGGTGTATATCGTAAGTCCCGGTACTGGATTAGCGAACGACCCACCGTGCTTCGAAGGTGCGGCCGCAAGAGGGTCGCGTTAGGGCTGGACCCTCATTGTTGGTGGAATGGCGGCAGTGGTGTTTTGTGAGATGAGAGGCGGCTTGTCGCGTTGACATTGCACCGGTCTCGGAGATGTCTAACAAAACCAATATACGTCCTGACTGTGTGCACATGAAGGCAGCGCTGAGTGCCGGTGTAGCTGGTCCGCGGCAATTGAGTCTTGCGACCCTATATTTGCCCTAGTAGGGACTATTCAGCTGGTTTCGAAGATGGCTACTCCTCTTTCTACGGCAGTAAGTCAAGCCTGCCGATCATGACCGATGTCGTCCGAGATATCCTGATCAATTTTCGGGTACTTGAGAGAAGTTTTTTGGGCGTCCTTCTAACGATGCTTTCGTCCGCCTTGTCCGCCAGCATCTATAGAGACACAGCCGTAGGTCGGCCTCTTGAGCAGACGCTCATCATCCATTGGCAGAGGGGAGCTCATCGACCGCTATACGGGACACGCTCATCCCGCTTTGTGCCTTGGGACTCAATCTCGAGTCCCGCCAATATCCGCGCAACGGCTCATCCATCTCACGGCGTGGCTGCTCCAACGCAGTTGTGGCTGGCTCAGGATGGCGTGGAACCTGAGGATACCGATTCTAAAATTCCAAAGTTTGACGTTCTTTCCTGTCTCATAACCTTCAGCATCCTCCATAAATTAAAATTTCTGAGCTTTCTTGGTTGGCTTTCTTATAACGTCCACGTCTATGCCCCGTACGGAATCGCAATCAGGAGAGCGGTCCTGTACATCCTCGGTCTCGTGATGAGGAAGTTGACGCGACTATTCTAGGCAGCGTATGTCAGACTTCCGGTGGTCGGTCTGACTTTGGAGCTCTAATTGCACTTTCCTCATCGATTTTGATGTTTCTTGGTATACTTCTCAGGCATCCCTGGTGTGATAGTAGTTACATGGACATTGACCCTGAGTTCGTTGCAAGCATTATTTGGAGTCGTTTGGTGAATGACCAACATCTCCGTTGTGCTGGTTGTCATTCCGAAGCTAGAGAGGAGATCAGCACATCGCTGCATGCCATCTTTTACTGTGATGTTTAGCGTGCAGTCATTCGCGAATAAGATGTCGTGGATACTGGCTTTGAAGATTCTCGAAGACGTCTGCATGTGTTAGATATTGAGCAGTTATCTGTTAGTTCTGTGGAAGAAGTTTTCAGGAGACGGACGCTTAGAAATTTTCCGTCGCATTGTTGGTTGATTTCGATCTCCAGACGCAACTCAAAGTGGGCATCCAACAGTATGGCAAATACTATGAGACTGAAGGAGGTGGGAGGTAGTACGCAGCCCTGCGTCATCCTATTTATTACCGCGAATGTCTCCAAAATTAACTTTTTGGCTGTGATGTCGCCATCTTCCCATCATGTACTTGTTATACCAATTTTTCTGGGTCACCCCAGCTATTTGAATTTAAACATGATTTTCTAGTTTCCATCGAGATTCGCTGTGTCGAAGTTCTGCCTCAGATACACGAAGGTGATTTAGAAGTAGGTCATCAGTTCCTGGCAGCTTTCTTCTAATTGGCGCACAACAAAAAATCATGCCGATGTTTCCACGGGGTTTCCGGCTTCCGTAATGTTTCTGGAAGGAGCCCCTGTTTCACATGCATGTACGGAGGTTGATTAAGGCTCGTGCTCACATAGTTCAGGCAGATGCCTCTCTGGCTGTTATAGAGCCATCGCTTCACTTGATACACATGTTACGTCGGTGGTATCCTTGAACTCTTGGTGGGTTTGTCCTTGCGTCCACATCTCCTAAAAAATGAAACAAGCTTGTTTATAAGTTCAGCCGCCGTACTTGTAATTTCCGGCTGAATTGCATCGGCATTCGGTGCACTACCGCTGGACAACTGTTTAACCGTATTGATTGCCTCTTGTACGAAGGTCGACTGTTGAGATCGTCATTAGTGTCCACATGCGGAGATCGAGCGATGCCTTCTGCGACGATTTTGGATGGGTCCGCCCCGACAACGGGCTGCACTGCAGATACATTTAACCGAAGCGGGGACCTAGACTAGCTCATGGCGTTGGGTCCGCGCGAGCCTATAAACATTGCCGTACCTGCGCGTAGCACCTATTTCATGTAGTCCTCCACCCGTCGGCACTCGGAATCATTTTCTTCACCAGCACTTCCCGCCGGTCTCGCCACCGGACGAGGACATAGTCCAGCAGGTGCCTGCGTAATGACCAAGGGTGCATTCAGGTGGCCTCCTCTCGCCCCGGCGAGCAAAAGGTGTTCGTTAGGAGGAGTCGGTGTTCTGCGCAGGTTCGTAGGAGGAGCAGGTCATTGTCAGTGAAACCGTTGAGACCATGGGGACCCAGCGCTCCTCTCCAGGTAGCATGGTCTGTGCCGACGCAGGCGTTGAAGTCACCAACGACAATCAACTTATCCGTTTTCGACGCAGACGCCAGGAAGGCATACCGGTCCTCGTAGAATTTGTTCCTTGCAGCGTCAGTGCTGGTCATCGGCGGCGCGTAGACGCTGATGATGGTAACGGATTTGCTTCCCAGGACAGGCAGGCGGGGGCTCATCAGGCGATCGTTGAGGCCCTGCGGCAGACAGGACAGTCGTCCCACGATGTCATTTCGGATGGCGAAGACGATACCCGCGTTTCTTCGATCTGTCCTGTGGCGACCGCTACCAAAGAAGGTGTAGTCGGCACCCACCTCCTCCAATTGGCCTTGTTCAGAGAACCGGGTCTCGCTGAGCGCGGCGATGTCCACCTTGTAGCGTGCCAGTTCCCCAGCCACTAGCGCTGTCCTCCGTTCTGGTCGGTTGCTCCTTGGATTGTCTAAAAGGGAAAGAACATTCAAGGCTGCCAGAGTGAGCGGACTCATCCTACCAGTCTGGCGAGTGGGGCGACGGAGAGGAGGGAGAAGAGAGTGCGTGTGTTGTTTCTGATTTAGTTGTTTCGACCGTGAGTTTCGCGTCAGAGGCCACCGTCAGCCTGCTGACGGAGTGTGTCCCCAACACTTGTTTAGGACACCCTTTCTAGCCCCTCCCCACCTAGCGGGGTTGAGCAATGCTCTCCTTAAATAAGGCTGTTCAGTTGTGTCAGGCTGCTGCCGAACTCCACTATGGGACATGACTTTTGCTTAGTGGGAGAACGACCTGAGTTAGTCTAGGCCTGCCTACGGCATCGCCGTAGGACTTGAAGGGTGGAGGGGGGTGAGGGAGGGTAAAGAGAGGGGGAGCAGAGCTTTTCCGTCTTTCTTGAGTCGAACTGGTTGCTAAAATGTATAAGCGGTGTGCAGACAAATTCAAAACAGCGGCAGTTGGCGTACAGCAAAAACAAACAGATGAAGGGCATGCAAGCGAGAACAAGTAAAAGGAAAGGCAGACAGACGAAATTCAACGGAACGGCATTTAGCTTACAAGAAGGACAAACACAAACTAACAAACAGAAAGCAAGCAAGCAAAACAAAGATGCAGAACAATGTTCGCTTACCTGAGGGCTCACTTACCTTGTGGCCTCATGCGGTTTTGCAGATTGAGCCTCGTTTAGGAGATACCGAGGAGGTGATCGATCTGGCCAGCGGAGCCGAGTTACCGTGTGCGGAAATGCACACACGGATATCCTCATCTGGTTTAGCTCGCCGGTCGAGACGGTTACAGGGGTGTGACCGGTGGGCAGAGCCTAGCTTCGGGTATCCACATGCGAGTTAGGTTTTACTTAATGGACGCTAGGCGCAATCAACACCTGCAAGCACGCGAGCGACCTACTACGACCGTCACGTGGACACACAACTGGGCACCCCTACCTTGTTGTGGAGCACGCGGTGGAAAGTCTCGGCAATGACGGTCGAAATTTCAGGTCGCGTCTCCAGCTGCGCCTAATCCCAAAACCCATTAGTTGGCAGGGTTTGGAAGATAACTGGTGCATGGGAGAGTGAGTAGAGGGTAAAAATGACGGTAGCAATCGGGAGATGGCACCCAAAAATCCACCTAATCAAAGCAGCCTGTCTTATGGGACAGAGAGAGAGAGAGGAATTCGCTTTATTTTGAAATTGTATGTTCAAAATTTTCAGCAAAAAATGGCTCCATTCATAATGAGCGGTAAATAAGTTAACAGATTATTCAAGAGTCAAAGTTTAACACAAAGAAACGATTATTATGGGGATAGTTCAAGTCTTAGCTTCTGTATTTCTGTCTCTTCGCACGTAAGATAGCGCGCTAGGAATGGCAATACAGAAGCTCGATAAGCCGATGTGCGACAGGATACAAGTCGGAAGCTGCGGCGCATCGGGCGGGAAGACTTCGCAGACATAAGATCGGAATGTAAGGGATGGGTAACGTCATCTAGAATTCGGTCAGCAAATTGCTTGACCGCATTGAAGTGTCGTTGTAAGATAGTGCCAACTAAAAAAGATGAGAAACACCGGCAGCAGAAGAGAGCATGCGGAGGATTCGTTTCAAAATTAAAAGATCATTTTTTAGCAAAGCAGGAAAAATGACAGGAGAACAGTATAGGATGAGAGGAAGAATGCAGGCATCAATGAATCGCCAGACTAAGGGCTGAGGTGTGTGGTAGGAACGTAAACGACGTATGTAGTAAAGAAGTTTACGAACTTTAAAAAATAGGGACTCAATATGGAGGGAAAAGGAAAGATTTGAGGACAAAATAACGCCGAGGTACCTGAAAGAGGATACTTCGTTAGGAAGAATGTCAGAGGATCAGGGTTAGGAGAGGGCCGCAGTCGAAAAATACACTGAACGGATTTTTGATAATAGAGGTTTTATGGGTGGTGGCTGGTCGGGATTTACAATAATAACCGACGGAAAGCCTTATTTGAACAGGTGAATGATCGAATTTGACCCGCTCTCCGTTCCGTTATTACAAAATGGGTCGCCAAAGGCAGTATACCGGTAACGGAAGAGTTGAAGGCGTATAATCGCTTTCCCTCGGAAGGTTGTCTACATTTCTCTGTTAAACACTCAAAGAATTTCAAGGAGCCTACCACCGGACGGCACACCAATACCATTGAGACATACTAGAGTAGACTGAAAAGGAAACTTCACGAGGGAGGCCCTGTGTGTGGTCGAGCTGTGTGGGCTCACATAGACGAAGTACAGTATCGTCTTTGGTTTGGCCTCAAAGTCATGTCTTTTACAGATGCCTGGGAACTGTTCCTGCCCCATGTTGTGCAGACTTATCTTAGTTAAAAGTGATTTTGTTTTGTAATAAACTTCCATAATGCGAATGTATGCCGTATATTCAGGTGTACGCGTGTAACGATGGGGAAGGTTGGGCAACAGCGACCATCGTCCATGTAACCTCCTGCGATGTTCGTTCGACCAGCCCATGTTAGGCCGTTGCGGAAAGTCCAAGTAGTTCGTGAAAGTAGGCCTGCAACCGCTGATATAGCCTGAAGGCGTTAGAGTACACTGTTAAAGGTATTATTTCTAGGTAACGGATTTTTTTGGGTGCCATCGTCCGACTGTTACCAAAATGACACTGGGGAACTAATCCAAACAACACATCAGCGCATTTTTCACCATAATCAGTCTGACGCGCTTGAATCTATAACGACACCCTATCCGTCGTGGCTTGGAAGGTTCCCGACTGACGAGATAAATTGGCCTTTCTCAGGACTGAGACTCATGCCGAAATAGCTCATTCCTTATGCAGCCTTCTCATTAAGGTGAGATTCGAGCCGCCCTTACTGCCTCATGTTACATGTAATATGGCCGTTTTGCATTTTCAGTCACTGTGCTTCCCCATCTCTGGTCGTTGTATTATTGCCTAATCACTGGAGCTAGGTGTGTGGGGGAGGGGAGGGGCGATAGGTGCTGCGTAAGTCTGCCTCACTACGAACTGCTTCATGCGCAAGTCACCGATGTTGCCTACGCTTGACGTAGTCGCTTGTGACGGTCGAACTGAAGCGAGGTGGTTGGGAACTTGGCTGAATCGCCCACCCCAATATTCTAGGGAGGCACAGTGATTTGGACGGAGATGTTTTGTGTTTCTTTTATTGTTTTGGCCGCGTGTTATACGGCCACAAACAACGGTCGGTTTGCCAACAGTGTGTTTTATCAGCAAGTTGAGGTCACCTTTTCCAGCCCCTCCAACCGCAAAGCTGTAAGCAGTGACTCATTAGGTAGGGCTGCTTAGTCATCCAGACGGCTGCCAAACTCAACTCTGGGTCACGACTGTTGTTTGATAGGCAGACAATTTAAATATGTTCGAACCGACTGTGGGATTACATGCTGCCCTCTCCGTACGGCTTTGTTGTTTGTGGGTTGCATAGGGACTACCGAGGTGTGAGGACACACCTGCCGGAAACGCCTATTGAATTGAGCCAGTCGGTCAAAGACAGTTAGCGGCTGTGGTCGCCGAGCGTTGAATTCAATTCCTTCTCGATTGCTTGTGCCGCAGCTGACTTCGCTGCCAAGTCTATCGTCCATTTGACCGGCCTGGCGTTTACGGCCTCAGTTATTTTACGCGACAGGCCAGCCTGCCACTTGATGCTGTTGATTCCTCCTACCAAACGTCTATTGCCACAGCCTGGGAAGCCCTCGTGAGCGGTTAGAGAACTCTACGGCTTATTAACTAATTCAAGTTCTATAGCTCATCCTCCCCTTCATCAAAATGCTCCCATGTAAACGTTATACTGTGGTCAGTCGGTTCTTTTCGGGTTCTTTTTCTTTTCCGGCCTCAGTACCCTCCTCCAGCTATTTACAAATATGGTCGGTGTACACCTGTACGCTTGGGCTAACTGACCCTCTTCTTCGTGAATTTTGGCCCACAGTCCAAAATTGCTGTAGTTTTGAGGGCCGAAAAACAGCTACATCAGTAGACCCAGTCGGGCATTGTAAGGGCGCTCAGGGGTGGGCAGAGACCACCGCGCACATCTGCCGTCTCTTCATGCAGTTTGACAATGAGGCTTCGGGCTTCTTAGGGGCTTAGGGTTATGCATTTAGGCTTAGGTTTTCAGGTTACGGTTAGGGTTTGATCGTACAATTAGGTTTCAGTATTATGGTTAAGTTTTTCAGTTACGCCTATGCCTAAGGGCTACAGTTACGTTTACGATTTCGGTTAGGGTTAGGGTTGCCGTTAGGGTTAACGGTTTACGTTTAATGTTGAGGTTAGGGTTAGGGTTAAAGTTAGGATTAGGGTTAGGTCGCCATCCGCTTCCCATTCCTGGCTACCAACTGCGATCTACCCCCAGCTGATACTGAAAGCTAGCAACCTAATCGCAAAGAAGTGCTACCGTGTCACCATTGTGCTCCTTGGGAGCGATCACCCAAACTTTCTCCAGAAACCCATGACAGCGGTCCACCAACTCGACCCTTGTTGGACGTTTACGGGACCACTGAGCGGGTCAACTGAATTCATTTCCTAGACAGCATCTCGTACGTATGAAAACATACTCTGAACTGCCAGTTTAAGATCAGTCTGTAGTTGATGAATGAGAGCGAGAAAGTTGTTGCTATATGACAGCAGGCGTCGTTCTTTTTTCCCCTGGCAAGACTCTTCGCTGTCCGGAGTTGATTTCGGCAGAGTCGAGGCGGTCGCTGTTTTCGACCTTCCCGGCGTTCGGCAGGTTCCGATCGCAGACAGCGGGGCTCCTCAAGAGGGCGCTTGCATTATCAAGTGCGTCAGCTAGCTGCCCTGCCAGTTCCTGCAATCGACCCTTATACCGCCTTCTCAGTTCGTCCTGACTGAAAATCCAAACAGTTAGACAAGTTGGTCCACACCAGTGCAATACGCGCCTCAAGTTCTTCAAGGTCGAATAACTGCAGTCCATCTGTCCTTGTATAGGTTGCAGGGGAGCTTTAGGAGACCTCTTCCACGGAAAAACTCGTCACGGGCAAGGAAACCTCCGCATTGGCGTGT